GGTAAGTTTTTTTAAGTCCTCAAAATTTGGGCTGTGAAATGTGGTTAATACCAATCTCATACGATTGTCAATGATGTTTAAATGAGACAATGTACTTGTCAAATGGTACAATGTTATATAAATTTAAAGTACTGCTGTCATTGTCACATCATTATTAGATTTTAATGTTAGGAACTGCCTCAATGATTTCTGTCCTCAATTTTGACCTTGATTCTCAGGACAGTGTTTGAGATTTTTTAAACAAGCTGTATGGAGAGCTCACTAAATAGCCCAAATTCATGGGTGAGTGAACTGGTGGCCTTTCCTTTATTCCAATCGAGGGTCACATGGGGCTGCCATTTGCTTGGCATGGGGAGCACTGTTCTGTGCCCCACTTTTGTATAAAGGGTCTCCATCTCCAGGCTGAGATATCTGACCTCTGAGCACAGTTGTTAATCCTTGAATAAGTGGCTTATTTACTTTGACTTGTGGACAAATGTCTGAACCCATTTACTTTCATGAACTTAAAACTGGAGAGGGGGAATGGCATTAACATTTTACTGAGCAATCTGCTAGCTTCTTCCCACATACCATTCCATTTCATCTTCAGAACAACTCTGTGAAATGAGAATAGTAGTTGTTCTCATTTAACAGATAAAGAAGAGTCAGAGAGGTTAGCAAGCTTGTGACCTGGTGGTGCCAGAACTCAAACCTCTCTGTCTGCTTGATTCTAAAGCTCTTCCTTGGAACCATAGGACGTACTACAAGTAAGTCACCTCCTCTTTGGCCAGGATTGAAAGAGACACCAAACTGCCTAAAGTTCATTTTTTTCCAGGTCCCTTTTGTTTTTTTTTGGAGGGGGAACCCAGAAAGAAACCCACGACACCTGTTAATAACCATAGTCTGATAAGCCTTGGCCAGCGCTAGCATAATGCGGCACAGGTTCCAAAAACAGGCACTTCCTCCCCCCACAGCATCTTGACTGTGCAGTTTTAGAACCTCATAATGAAACAAAAAACAAACCAAAAAATGTGGAGAGAGCTGGAGAAATAGATGCTGCCAGGAGTGAGGAATTCACTGACCCCCCGCTCTGGGCCATCTCAAGAGAAGTTGGCCACTGGTTGAGCCTTTTAAAAGCTTAAAAGTCATCCCAGGCCATGGTTAAAGAGGGAGCTTGAACAAAACAAAAACAAATGTGATCTTCAAAGTCTTAAATGTCAACTTGAAGGATAACTTAGAAGCTTTGGGATGGGCCAAGAGGACCTGCAGCTGCTCTCTAACATCAGATGCTCCTTTGTTCCTTTGGAGTAGTCACTCCCTTGGATAATGTGTCAATCAGGGTTCAGGGGGCAGCCTCCCGCCTCGTACCCACTGGAGATGTTTGTGATGGCTAAAGCTTTCATTCTTTACAACCCATCAGATTCTCCCATTACTCTGACCTGGGCACCCTTGACAAGAAGTGGCTGCCTAGCCGCATTCTCCGACTTCAGGCTTGTCCTTCAAGACTCAATTGGTCCTTGACCCTCCTCCCCTGCCCCCACCTCCCTACCTTTCCCCTCCCCATCATACTTATACAACCTGCTCTTCTGTCCTTCTCCCTCCCTAGAGAGCACAAACACAAGAGGGATTTCTAGGCCAGACATCCAGGATGCCTGGTTTCTCCTCCCACCAATCAGGATAATGGACCAGGGATGCTCATGGAAAATCTTCACTGGTCACCTTTTCTAGAGGAAGGAAGTAAGGGTGTCCAGAGCCCTAGAAACTCCACCCACTGGCCTTCAATCATGGAAAATATGTAGCTAGATTTGGGGAGAGGTTCTTTCTGAGCAATACTTGCTCCTGATGGCTGAAAAACTGAAAAATAAAAATACAGCCCTCCCTTTATTAAGGGTCTTACAGCATTCTGAGCTCTGTTCTTAGTTCTTATGCATAAATGTTGTTTTCATAACCTGGGAAGGGAAATACTATCCTTATTTTACAGATGAGGAAGCTGAAGCTCAGGAGGAATAAGTCATGTAGCCCAGGTTACTAATTCGTATATAAGTCACAGTTCTCTCTCTCCAGGCAGCTGATCAGAAATCCGCACTCTTTCCATTGTGTCGGGCTGCCTCTGAAGTCCAGGGCTGAATGAAACAGGATCTTCGACACAGTGTCTCTGGCTGTTGAGATCTAGAGGGTCATCTGCTATCAAAGCCAAGGACATCCTTCAACTTGTTCTTTCTGCTAGCTGTGTTTGCCCTCTGGACCTTTAAGGATGTCTTGGAATGCATCCCATCTAATTAATCTAATCTCAAAGATGACCAAAGAGCTGGCCAGAAGATTGAACTGATAGAATGAGCCATGAGCAGGCTTCGATGTCAGCCTAGGCGTCCATGGCCTGGGAATTCATCCCAGCCATGGTGAAATGTCTCCTAGTACAAGCCCAGAAGGATCAGGACTCCACTGATCCCACAGGCAGCACTCCCAGAAACCCCACATGTAGAAAGAGTTGAAAGCCCATTTCTTGCCCCTCACCTCTCCCTCAGGAACCGTGTGCTGGAATAAGAGTATTTCTGGGAATCCTGCTCCAAGGGGTCCCTTCTCTCCCTGGGTATTTAGTCTTCTATGTTTAAATAATGGAAATGAATGAGAACATTTATACTTGCTACCTCCATTGGCTCCTCTAAAATCAAGAAGAAAGCCTCATCTTTCATTATCTCTATGCCTTCTCTACTGCCTGTACTTACCCTTTATCTTCATTCTTTACACCTGGATCCAAGGCTATTTAGTAATGGGGAGTTTAACCTGTTTTGCATCAAAAACTTCGGAGACAGCTGGGAAAGAAGACTGGGGAGAGAACATGTTCTCACAGCAAGCAGTAGTATTTCAACTTCCCCACGCTCACCGAAAGCAAAATCATTCACAGGCCTTCCTACTGAACCTGCCTGCATAGCCTCCACCTTCTTGAGCTCCTGACTCTCTAAGTTCTAATGCCCAGGAGAATGTTCTCTCCTCTTTTTGTCCTGATGGGGGCACGAGTATTCCCTCAGCATCCAAGGCGCTGGAGGAAAAGCTCTGAAAACTCAGCTGGGAGTTAGGAGCCAGAGTTTGCAACTACCAGGGAGCAAGACAATAATAGCACAGTTGTTTGCATAAAGAAATGGGGGTTAGATGGAGGTCCCAGCACAGATGAAGAAATAGACCATTTATCCTCCAATGCCTAAGGCCATGGCCATCACCACAGTCATGTACATGTAAATACACGCAGGCATGTGCATCTCATGGGGACCAGTGACTCCTGTTTACATGCACCCTTGTTTACATTGCCTATGGGATGATTTCCTCCTTCTTCATTACACTTCAGTTGACGACGTACTCCTGAAGTTAAATGAGTGTTTCTGACATTGCTGCCTGCTCCTTCTTTTATGGAGCTTCCCTGGGGGTCAATTTATATAATTTCTAAAATCCTTCCTGAATCTTAACTTCCTGTGAGTCTGTTTTTACATCCAGATTTCCTCCCTGTCCCTTCATTCTCTCATTTTTCTAGGACATAGGGAGAGTCCAGTAATCTTCCTCCCACCCAAACATTGTAGGTTGGCTCTATTGCAAAATACAAAACCAGAGACCTGGCTAGAGCAAAGCTGAAAATTCAGGCTGTCTGTGGTCACTCGTTTGTGGAACCCAGCTACTGACAGGCAGTGCCTGGCACTGTGCTACTCAGGGCTGATGGATCCATACGGCCCCACTGCTCCTTTTTCCCCCTACTCTCGGTGGAGCACACTTTCCGCCCCAGGCCCTAGGGAAAATCCATCCCCCGCTTCAGTTGGCTTTGCAAAGAAACTCAGGAAACTGACACCAAACTCAGAAGGGGGAAAACACAAGACTTTGAACTTTTTAAAGATGGGAAGCTGCCTTCATTCCCACGTGGGTATCAAGGAAAACCTCTGGGGACTCTTTTCTGGAGAGGTGTGATTTTCCGCTAACCCTCCGACAAACGTTCCAAATCTACTCCAAAACTGTGGAGAAATGGCCGAGGCAGAGAGAGAAGAGTTAAATCAAGCCCAGACCTCAGCAATCTGTGTTCAATTTTGATAAAAATCTCTCTCCCTCTCCCCCACCGCCCCCCTTCCTCCACCCCACAGCTCAGACACGTCTCTTTATGTTAGGAGCTTGCATCTTGTTTGGGGCACCACACGCGGCACTCCCAGAGAACCTGGCACGTACCTCACCGTGGCCATGTGGCAAAAACATCCATCCCACTCCCAAGCTACGGCTGGACACAGGGCCACAGCGTCCTAGCCATCACCACCACCTCCCCCTCTTCCTTCTCATCCTCTTCACAAAATTACCTGCCGCCAGACCAAGTCCCTCCTTCCCTGGTTAAGTCAGAGTCCCGACGCCTGGTAAGGTCAGGGCATGAGGTTGGTTTGCGACCGCAGGTGCTGAGAACCCCAGAGTCCGGGGACCCCTTTCCTGAGATGCTCCTTCCCCCGCCCAGGGTCCCACTGCCACTGAGAACAAGAACCTCACGGCTGCCCTGCCCGCTGGCCAGAGGCCAGGCCTGCAAATGGAAGCTGGGGGCCTGTGAAGACTTCAGCCCAGCCAAGTGAAGGTTCAGTCCGAACCCGGAAAAGCCACCACCAAAAAGTTGTCAGTTTTGCGGGGTATCTTCTGTGTTTGTCCACTTGTGACAACCAGGAGTCAGGTTTCAAAGCCTCAAAAAAATTTTTATAAAAGTTTTCCAAAGACATTTCCTATGTCCAGATGTGCCACTACAGACACACGCAATCACACCCATTACACAAACACACAACTCACACACACAAACACACACACACAGGCCCTGGGAGCCCACTCCGGGTCGGCGGCTCCTGCAAACACTTTGGAGAAACAAAACCGCCAGCCTGCGGAGCCGCTGCCTCCCCAAGCCCCGCGGGGCATGCTAAAGAAAGCAGAGGCGAGAGAAGTGTGGGAGCCCTGCGGAGAGGGCTCCCCGCGGCCCCAGCCCCAAGACGGGGAGCGCCAGGGCCCGTCGCACTTACTCCGAGGACCCCAGGGCGCCCGCGCTCCCGCAGCCCGAGGTCCGGCGCCGCCGCCCGCGCTCCGCTCGCTCCCGTGTGCTCCGCGCTATCCCCGAGAAGCCGCGGCTGCCGCCCCTCCAGGCCCGGCCTCGCGCCCGTCCGCCCGCCCCGCTCTGACGTCAGGCGTCTTGGAGCGGGATATTTATGGCAAGGATACTCTGAAATTTCCCTAGGTAGAGTTCTGATTGCAGTTTCTTGGGATTTGTAATTTTCACACTTTCAGACCGAACGGAGGCGGGGGGAGGGCGCCGCCGGCAGGGCGAGGCGCACAATGAGGGTAGCTGTTCCCCACTTTGGCAGGGAGCCTTCTCAGGGCCCCCTCTGTTTTGGAAACATGGAAGGGTCAAGCAGGCAAAAGTGGCCACCTGGGCAGTGGGTTTCTCCTCCGCTCCTCCTCTGGGCCACGGGCAAAAGGCCTGGTCTGAGGCCGGCTCGGAGGTGGAGGTCCCGGTGCCAGGGAATCCCCTGTCCCTCCCCAAAGTGTCCCTGCACTGGACAATGTGTCCCAGAGGGGTGCTGGGCAGGACGGGAGGGAAATCAGGCACAACAGAACAGCTAATTAGGAGCCCTTCTCCACGCCCTAACAACTTTTCCATTTCTTTTTTGGGAGTGTATATATATATTTTTTTAAGTTTATTTTTATTAAATTATGTTCCACACTCCCTGCCCCTGTATAGCTTTTCCAACTCAGTGCCAGTCAATTCATCTTACTTCATTGCTGGTATGCATAGTTTGAGCAGTTTACAATAGTTCTTATTCATACTTTTAAATTTTGCTTTTTTTTTTTTTTTTTTAAATGTGATTGTGGTCTGTCTCCTTGACTGAACTAGAGATTGCTTTGGTCAAGAGCAATTGTCCTCTCTGGGATTGGCAACACCCTCACAGGGAGTATTTGATCTCGGTTTCCTAGTTCCCCCAGCTCCCTCTGTAAGCAAATGGTGCCCCCACTGGGTGATGACCTGTATAGAGTTTTCCGGGTGTTCAGTGGTTTGTTCTGAGTTAGCGGTTGTCTGTTTCTCCACCTAGCCAAAGGGACTTAGGGAAATGGCTTGGTTTCAGGGCCACCCTTCCAGAGAAAAAAAAGAGAATGTAATGCATGATCTTCCAGAGGGGAAAAAAAAGAGAGAGAGAGACAGAATGTAATACATTATCCTTCATGGTTCCCAAGGATTGGAGAATGAAATGAACTTAAAATGATACATGTGAGATGCAAAATACTTACACGGTTAGACAACGTAAGTGTTTAGGTGTTCATCTTGCCATGAATGGGAGAGGGCCCAGGTAACTGCAAATCATCATTAAAACACAACTATAGTGAACTGTCCATTAGCCCAAACCGGTAGAGGCGGGGGCATGTTTTAACCACAGTTACAGTGCAGCAGGGACTCAAGGACTTGGAATGTGTTTACCTCTTTGGCAGCAGCTGGTTAGAGCTGATTGCCAGAAGGAGCCAAGTCTTGGGGTTGGGCCTCTCAGTAGCAGACAGTCACACTGTTTTGACCCAAGCCACGGAGGGCCCTGCAGCAGGGAGCTGCTGTTTGTTCACTGTGGGATTGCTCTCCCCGGCATCATACCCCACTTTTACCTCCTTCCATCCCCTCTCTCATATCAAGGCTCCACTGGCAAGGTGAGCTCTGTTCTTCAGCAGACCCTGCAAATAAGTTTCCAGAAGCCATTGACAAACCCCTTCTCCCTTGCCTTTCTCAACTAAAGAAGCTAGAAATCTACAATATTCGCCATCCTAGACTCCCTGGTAGTTCACGATTGCTATGAGACCCAGTTCTGACTAGTGAGATTGTAATGCAGAAGACAGAGGATGCCTTCCACAAACTCTCTTTAAGAGAAGGTCAGATTCATATAACATTCCCCTTGACATTCCCTAATCCTCCTTCCCCATTTCTTCTCTCCTGGAGCATTTAGATGATGCCTGGAGATGCAGTATCCATCTTGCTACCTTGAGAACAAAAGCTACTCTCTTAAGGGCGGTAGGGCGGGAAGCTAAAAGAAACCAAGGCCCTAGATACCATCCTTAAGTGGCTTATGCCTTCCTCTGATGTTTTGTTAGGTGAGAAAAATAAACCCCTATGTGTTTAAGTTATTATAATTGAGTTTTCTATTCTTTATAGCCAAATACAATCTTACCAACAATACTTTTATCAATCCACCTAAATATAATACTGGATAATTACTGAGCATTGGCTTACAGATATAATTTTTGCATGATGCCTTGCACTTTAGCGTAATTCTTTTTTAGATTTTCTTTTTTTGTTGTTTTTGTTTTTCAAGACAGTCTCACTCTGTCACCAGGCTGCAGTGCAGTGGCACCATCTCAGCTCACTGCAACCTCTGCCTCCCAGGTTCAAGCGATTATCCTGCCTCAGCCTCCCGAGTAGCTGGGACTACAGGCATGCGCCAACATGCCCAGCTAATATTTGTACTTTTAGTGGAGACAGGGTTTCACCATGTTGGCCAGGATTGTCTTGATCTCTTGACCTGGTGATCTGCCTGCCTCAGCCTCCCAAAGTGCTAGGATTACAGGTGTGAGCAGTGTCTGTGAGAACCTGTCTATGAAATTGATACTGGGTAACTTCATTTCAGGCAAAGTGAGAGAAAGGATAAAATTAAAGATGAGATTGGATAAAAGAGAGAGTCAGAGAATTAGAGATAGGGCCAGACAGAGATTGCAGTGAGCCGTGGTCATGCCACCGCACTCCAGCCAGGGTGACAGAGTGAGACCCTGTCTCAAAAACAAACTAGGGTGGGCAAGGTGGCTCACTCCTGAAATCCCAGCACTTTGGAAGGCCGAGGTGGGCACATCACTTGAGGTCAGGAGTTCAAGACCAGCCTAGCCAACATGATGAAACCCCATCTCTACTAAAAAATAATAATATTAATACAAAATTAGCCAGGCATGGTAGCCCGTGTCTATAATCCCAGCTGCTGGGGAGGCTGAGGCAGGAGAATCACTTGAGCCCAGGAGGCAGAGGTTGCAGTAAGCTGAGATCACACCCCTGCACTCCAGCCTGGGTGACAGAGGGAGACTCTATCTCAAAAAAATAAATAAATAAATAAAAACACAAAAGATAGGGCCAGAGACTCAGAGTTGGCAGGTTGGGGACATGACGAGGACAGAAACAGGGGAAGTGAGGCTAAGTAGCCAGCATTCTAGGTCTGGGAGACGGGAGTCTCTCCATCCTTGCCCAAGTGTTTTGGAGGCAGTGTGTCTCTCTGTCACCCAGGCTGGAGTGCAGTGGCGTGATCATAGCGTACTACAGCGTCAAACTCCTGAGCTCAAGGGATTTTCCCACCTCAGCCTTCCTAGTAGCTAGGACTACAGGTGCATGCCACTAGGCCTTGCTAATCTTTTTTTTTTTTTTTTTCTTTTTTAGTGATGGAGTCTTGCTGTTTCCCAAGCTAATCTCAAATTCCTGGTCTCAAGCAATTCTCGAGAGGCCGAAGCTCTGGGATTACAGGTGTGAGCCATTGCGCCTGCCCCCAAGCATTCTTAATTAGGTTCTATTGGGATGAGGAGCAAGTGAAATTCATAAAATATGTGGATCTCAGTGCTGAGGAGCTGTTTTTGAGGTTGCTGAGACCTGAAAAGTCCATGAAGTAGTAGGGCTCGAAGATCATCTGATTCACTCCCCACCCCCAGCCCTGTCACTCACAGTGCCCTAATGTAGGAGTCTCTCGTATTCTCAAGATCACCAAGAAAGGGGTTTCATCCTTCTTCACCTGCATATTCTAGGAATGTTCCCGGAACATACAGTGAGGCCCTCTGTAGCACACTACTCATCTGGAAAATTGTACCTGCTTGATGAAGGATTCTCAAATAGCACATTATGGTTGGCCTGGCTTCCAAAGCTCACTATATGCTTCCAAGGCCCAGCCTATCATGGTGAGAAGCAGGCCTCACAAAAGTCACTTGCTCACTCTCCAGGGGTAGAGCTCCTAGACTGTTACTACATGAACCACAATAGCACTCAGTAAAGACTTTCTGAAGAATGAATGAAGGTCCCATGAATATGTCATCTAATCAATATGTGACTCTCCACAAATAACGTATACCTTTCTCTGATTTACTGTTGTGGACTATAGCAAGTGTTTGAACCAAAGACCTTGGTTAAATCCCCAGCCCTGCCTCTCCTTGCTGCGTGACCTCAGCATGACAGGAAACTTTCTCAAGCTTAGTTTTCGTGGTGATTAACTTCATGTGTCAACTTGGCCGTGCCACAGCGCCCAGATATTTGATTAAGCATTATTCTGGATACTTCTGTGAAGGTGGTTTTGGATGAGATTAATATTTAAATTGGTGGACTTCGAGTAAAGCTGATTACCCTCCATAATGTAGGCAGGCCTCATGCAATCAACTGAAATTCTTAGTAGAACAAAGACTGACCCCTACCCCCCAAGAGGGAACTGTGCCAGCAGACTGCCTCAGGACTCCAACTGCAACGCTTCCCTGGGTCTCCAGCCTGCTGGTCTACCCTGCAGATTTTAGACTACCAGGCCTCCATAATTACGTAAGCCAATTCTTTAAAATCAGTCTCTCTCTCTCAATATTCATATACTAAATCCTGTTGGTTGTTTCTCTGCATCTATTAATAGGAGAATCCTAACAGTGTTCTTCAACAACAACATGAGATGAAGATTATTCCACCCTAAAGGATTGTTGTAAACGTCAAATGAAGCAAAATAAATTGAAAGTCTCTACCTCAATAAGTTCTTCTGAAACTCGGAAGGAAAAGGATGCCTCAAAATTTCAGTCTTTTTCATCCCACCACAGATGTGGTCAGTATCTGCTGGCTCTTAGACTCTGTTCATGGAGGTGTCAAACTTTGTTATCAGGTGTGCTGTTAATGCCTAGCAGGCAACACGTCCTGAACTGGACCCCATTCAGCACAGACACATCACACATCAGGTATTTTGATCATGAGCCTGATCCTGGGGCCTATCCTGCTTCTGTCACTTCTAGTAAGGAGTACAATCTCCATTGTTCAGGACAGGACTCCTGGACTTGTGTTATCTATCTCACTTCCAAGGAT